TTTACTGGTCAACTGACGTTTCACGTTTGCCGTGAACGTAAATCTAAAACTCTCTATTATGAGGAAAGGGGCCGGCGATTGGGTAAAATATTTCTAGCGTCGATATTGGAGAGATTCTTAAAGAATCAGGAGTGGAATGAGAAAGGAAAGGATAAAAGGAAAAGAAAATAAAGGAAAGGAAAAAACGAAAGGAAATGAAAAAGAAAAAAAACGAAAGGAAATGAAAAAGTAAAGAAGGGAACTGAATGTTAAAAGATAAAAATGGAAAAAGAGGAAAGGAAATGTAATGTAAACTAGGAATGATAAATGATATGACTAGATGAAATAAAATTCCAACTATGTCACTGAATCGGAAACGGACGAAGCAAAAACGTGGGACGGAAAAAAATTCAAATCGAAAAGTTTATAATAAAAATATGAAAGAAAACATAACAAAAATGAATTTAATCAGCAACCTCAAGTACCAACAGAAACTTACTTAAAATAATTTTCGAAACTAAAAGATAAAAATCTTCCTCGTGTGATATTCAAACAATTGCTCTAAAAACTGATAACCTATTAGTCATGTAAACCCTGCCTGAAAGAATTAGTTCCAGACAGGGTTTTTGTCTCAGAGAGTTTCAGTCATTATCACTATTAATAAATTTCCCTCGTCTTCTTATGTCAGAGAAGTCATGACGTTTCAAATGAAACACTTTTTGTGACAACAATGATATAATTAATTATACAGTGTAAGGTGCGGCTCGAACGATTTGACTTGACTTCGGTAGCAAGGACAGCTGTTTGAGCTAGGAGTATCAAACAAATACAATTATAAAATAACTGTCGTGTTTGATCGTCTCCCTCGACAATGGTACCAGCTAACGGTACTACTTGAACTGACACCTGGGTTTTCCACCCTAAACAAATTTTGAGCTGTTTTATTTGATATTTCATTCACTTATCGTGACAATCTGTCGTTCAAGATTGCTCGCATAATGGTTTTTCACCTGAGAAAATCTTTTCACCTTAAAGAAAACATTGTTGAGTTATTCGAGTTATTCTAACTGATCTAACAGTTGAAAGGTTTTTTGATTTAACACTTTGGGCACTTGAATGGTTTCTTCGGAAACTCATTTGATTACCTTCTCATTTCGTTATTGGTCAGACGCAATTAAAATTAGCTCTTATTGTTGGCTCAAGTTCGAACACTTGTCACGCTTCTTCTCTGACTCTAAATCGTTTAAAAACTACGCAGAATACCATCTTATTACCAAAAACGTTTTACCCTTTGATATAAGAATTTTATCTCAGTTCTTACAATTCAAAATAATTGAAGATAGTGGTAAAAAATGTAAAAGATATTTCTTTCAAAAGCTCACACGCTATGAACAATTATAAAGATAGCGAAACCTTGCGTGTTTTGATTCTGATAATTGAAATTTCGACTCAGAAAAAAGCAGAAAAAATTCCAAGTTTGTGGACGTTATACACACAAAGTAACGAAAAAAAGATCCATGCACAAATCTACTTGGATAGTTAGAAGATCAAAAGCTGGTTTTAAAACCGGTGAAAAAATAAAAGACACAGAAAATCGTGTTTAATTTGAGTTGAATTTTTCTGGAATATATCCTATTGACAATCTTTTTTCTACGAAAAAAGTTTTATAAACGGTCTTAAAAGTTTTTTTTCAAAATTATATATATAACAAATAGCACAAAATCTATGTCCTCGGTTAGCCCGCCCGCTTGTTATATTTTCTGGAAGTAAACTTCCGTGTGGGGCCTTTGTATACGTGCATGTGTATAACAATAGATTGGTGTATTTTGGGCGAAAATCGACGACTAGAACACTAACACTTGAATTAATCTGGTAATTTGAGATTAAAATATCATCCTATAAAATTTGGTAGTATAGGCAGGAACATTTTGAAATTGAAATGGTATTTTGAAATGATTCGTGAGCTTCTTTGCTAGCTAATATTCTTACAAATAAGATATTTTTGTGTCCCAGCTATTCTCGTCTATCGTTGAGCTATTTTCCAGAATCATTCTTTATAAAAAAACTGTSACATATATCTACAAGCTTTGCTTTCTCTCTCTCCATACTTAGCGTCTCTATAACACATATATATCTCCTTAGGAGATGTACAGGTGTACGGTGTAAGAGGAATATAAGAACTGAAACTTTGAAGACGGTCGAAAATTCTAGATTCAACTGCGTGCCTTAATTACAGTACCTCTGGACAAAATATTTTTTCAACGCGGGAAAAATCGCACCTCAAAAGTCTGAAACTATTTCGAATTCATTTCCTATACTTTTAATTAAAAATCCCTATAATTTTTGCTATAGAAATGTTTTTTTGGGGGTTTCTTAGGTACGTATCCTTAATGTAAGGAACTACCGCCCTTCTAGCTGGTCGATCCTTGCGCCTCATGTTCACCCACCCATCTACACATTGCACTTTTATTGGCTGTCTTGCATGTGTTTATGTTTTCAATTTCTTATCAATCTCACTGAAAAATGTATTGCATCCATCGTGATTCACGGAAATGTTTTATTTGTACTCTTTCGACCCGAGTCTTTCCTAGTGATTTTCTCACTTTCTCTCGCGAGGTAACTCGGTGAACGTTTGTTTGTTTAGCTTTTATTTTAAGCGAATGACGGGGATGGTTTCTAATTACAATCCGTAAAAGAAAAGCTAGAAATAAAATGAAAAAGTTGAAAGACTTTTGCTTTTGAACGCCAAGCGTTTAAGTTGTTGTTATTGCTTGCTGTCAAGTTGAAAAGTTTGAAACTTTTTTCCTCCTCTATAAAGTTAGTTATAAAGTCTTTTTCTGGCTTCACATGAGCGAAAAGTRCGAATGAATTGTACATGTATTTACTAAAAGATGCTTCGCGTGTTTTTATCCTTTTGAAAAGGCAAGACGTTCAAAAACTGAAATGCTGAAAGACTTTATGAGCTCCATCCGTCAATCACTGATCTTGTTTCTATTTTTTTCTTATGATTTCGATCATCTCACTGCTCGGTAAATATCACCACAAATGCCTAAAAACACTAATAGCAATCTCATTCTCTCTTCATCTCTTTCCTTCGCAATTTCTACCCATCTAACACTCTACTGCAGTCAACAACGAAGCCATTTTTAAAGCAATTAAGATCGCATACATCCGCGATAAACCTCTCTCGACTTATTCTAGTTTTTTTCACGACAATTAACTAAATTGCGAGCTACGTTTGTTCCAAATGAAATAACTTACTTTCCAATAGTTATGACTTGCGGAAGAAAACTTATTTTGACTTACATTAATATTTTGACTGTACTTAGTATACGTACCCCTCCTTTGGGCTCCGTCACCTTTCTCAGTTCCAAGTTGAACAGCTCACTGACTGCCTCGCCCAAAAAATGTATCCCCGCTATATGATTGCTCGAAATTAAATACGATAGTCAGGTATTGTCTACCGGTTTCAGCTGTATTTAATCAAGTTGTTTAAGTTTCTGTAAATAGTGAATAGATTATAGCATCTGTTGTTATTTCGGTTTTCAAACTGCCATCTAGGATATCATTTCATTTTTGAAAGCGAAGCTGAAATATTGTTAGGAACTATCTTCAAATAAAATTCGTGACCGAAACTACAACTGATCGGCTCCACTTTTGGAGGAGCTTTTATTTGAATTTAATGAGCTAAAAAGACGGAAATCCAAAGAAGAAGAGAAAAAATGTAGTAAACAACTGTTTATTTTGTTGTTAGTAGAGGCGCGTTATTCCTTTTTTTGATTTTGAATTTGTCGAGTGAAATGTTTTCGAACTGCCATTAAGGTAAGAAGTCTTGCTTGAGTTTCAAACTGCAAGAGTAAAATAGTAAATTTATTACTGACAAAGAAAATAATAAAAAAATTTGGGCTGCATAAAGGGTACAGAATGCAAATATTTTTAAAAGTTAAGACTTATTAAAGAAATGTATTCCTGAGTAGCGCGAATCGCAATCAAGTGAATCTGGCCCGACAATTGGTTTGCGTAACTGAGTCTCGAACCTAGGAATACCTATAAAAAGATTATTCAACACAATTGCAAGGGCACTGAACTTTTATTTCAATCGAATAGAAGTCATTAACGAAAGATCGATACKTACTGCACTTTTCTAATCTGAAAATGAAATTCGAGGGCCGGTGAAATCGTGGTCTGTGTGCAACACGAGGAAAGGATAATGCGTTGCTGTATATCAGTGAAACTCTAGAACAGTCTTGTTTTGCTGATATGAAGAACAACAATGCATAGAAATTGGAAATTATTTTCACACAGAATGTGTAATTGGATTTGAAAATGAAAGAAAAGCATACAGGATTGAATAGAGAATGAATGCTGCATGTTAAATGAAACTAAATATTTTTTTGTCACTTCAAAGGCTTTAATTACGAAAATAAGTAAACGACAGGTACATGCAATGTTTGCAAACCTTGAATGAAGAAAGAATTATTTAAGACTATATTAAAACATCATCCGAAATCCGTGTTTATCTTTCTTCATAGATAGAACTTGCACATGGTTCACACATTGACAGTACACGTATGTTTGTAGTTTAGCCGTATAATTCGAAGATTGTACAAGATTACGAACCGTACTTTGATATTAAAACTATTGGTGAAAAGCTAAAAATGCGTATAGGGTGGAAGGTGGTAATTCCGTTGTAACAGCTTTTCCTTTGGGTGGGATGATCGTGCTACAAGAATGTCTGAAAATGTAATTCGGCTAACTRCGATAAAACTCGACTCGCTCAGTATCATTTTGCACCATTCTAAAAGTRACTTTAACAAACTCCTTTCCCTAGATTCCCGTAAATTAACATGAAGGTAGAGTGACCTTATAGGTATACAACTGTTTTAACTATAACTAAGGAAATAAAATATACCACCATATGCAGGGTTACCCCGGCTCTCTCATGTCATCGAAACGGATCCTATTGCGATAGAATTTTGCCTAATTTCAAACAAATAAGATTTAAAACACATTTTTGAGCTATCGGACAAAATCTGCTAAAAAATACTAAAATTTCAACGATAATAAGCAAAGTGCAATCTTAAATATGCTAAAAATTATAATAAAATCAGAATACCGATTGAWAGTGACTTGAGATTTCAGTTAAAACAAACATTACTTCGTACCTGCCAAAAGGTGATTTTCAAAAGCGTTTTATTAACTTAACTGGTTAAATTACTGATTAGTAGGCGTGAAGGCATAGCAACGCTCCGCAACTGTTTTTACTGTAATTATAACAATTATAACAGAGGATCAATTTAAACAGTTGTAATATTATAACTCACGACAATTTGGGGCAAAATTGGAGTGGGAAACGCTGTGCTGTGATTACTAAATAGCTTCTGATCTTGCGCATTGTGATTGGGTGGTTTGCGTTTCTGTGTTTTCCGATTGGTTGAGAGAGGAAACCATTTGAGAGTCGAGGCAAGGTGCATTTCCACTCATTATAAATTGGCTTTCCTATTTTGTATGGATTGCTTAAAGTACACTCTATTAAATGAAAAAAGGAGAAGGATTGGCGTGACATTTCTTTATTAGTTCCTGCGGCCAGTTTATTGACAACAAAACTTACCAAAACAGTTTAAACTGAGTCGAATTCACGAAATCCTCGTAACCCTAAATAGCATTCAACTCTCAATGACAAAGAATCGTATCTCTTTGTTTACTGTACGGTTTTAGCATGATTGACAAGATTCGAAAAATACCAAGATTATCAATTTTTTCTGGGGCTATAAAGGGACCTGAAAAWATTAAGTGTTCGTAACAGCGCGCAAAATTTCAGCTTCAATTCAAATTCAATTTGATCCTACAATAAGGTGTGCGATCGACTCCCAAAAGATTTTTTTGTTGTTGTTGTTCATGGTTGTTTGTTGTTTTTTTTTTTTCTTGTTAGGCGAAACTTATTCCACCACGTTTTATCATTGAGTTCATAAGGCATGACACCTTCTCAATTTCCCCGTTGCTTTCCGTGATCTGACACATTTAAGGAGTAATTATCTGGTTTTATCCGCTCGTCTTTGCTTTGTTTTGACTATTATCAAAACGCTAATTTCCTTAAGACTGGAAAGAGTGCTTATTGATTAATTATTTACAAGAAAATGAAAGACTGTATTGTGTTACAACAACTGATACGCAGCAGAATACTTGCAAACCTTTGATCAGCAAGCAATTAGCGGTAGATAAAACCCTTTAGAATTTAAAATTAAAGTATTAGAGTCAAATATATTGTGTGGGCGGGAAACATATTTCTTCTCGCGCGGCTTTCAAATGGTCTTTGATATTCAAGCGTTTTGATTGGATGRCATGTCTTCAGTTGTAGCGTAACCATTTCATGGCCCGCCTGTAACTACTTCAGCTTTTAATTTACACATACAGTTTGATTTAATCCGAAAAGACAAAAAATCACGGAATGCACTGCACGATTGTTGTATTTACCATGAGCTAGCATATATTTGTCTCTTAAACTGGATTTATATTTCAGAGGGAAGGATTTAGATAGTCCCTTTATCGATCAATCCCCCCTCCTCCCCCAATCAATTAAGGTCCATTCTCATACTCCTTCTCCTTTATTGATAATATTCCCCCACCCCTCCCCCCCGAAATAGTATATACGTTCTACTGAGTTTGTTGGGTCTTTCCCTTGATTAGGGGGATTTTCTTCCGGTTTTTCTTTCTCTGCAAAACCCAACATACACAATCAATTTTCAATTCAATCTGTTAGTTAGCCGCGCCCTTTATTTGATCAGCCAGAGGTTGTTTCAGGGTTTGATACATTCATTGTCTACGTTAGGGAAGCTACGTTTTTTATTAGGGGAGGGGAGGGGAGGGGCAGACCTGGGGGATTTGCAGTAAACTTTGAAAAATATATATTGTAGCCCTCATTCTTTTCTCAGGAAGAAGTACATGACCCTCCTATTACGTCAACAAGACAACATAACAGTTTTGAACATATGATAGGCTTGACCCTCCAAAAAATGTAGCATTTTTAATGATAAATCCCTCCCCCAGTACGAATCCACAGGAAGCCCAAAGTGGGAAGACGACTCTATCGGTCAGCGGTTTATGCCATGAGTCACATGTTGAAGCCCGCCAAAGTTGTTTCTTGCGAAGTTGACAGATTTTTGATTCAAAATATTTGCTTTTTGAACCCAAATTATTCTGYGAAAGAATAGCTAGGCATCAAACACGAGGTATCAGCTTCAAACTGCACATATCAGGGCGTGCAGATCGAGGTTGTTTGACGATAATTGATGGCTATTACGTAGTTTGTATTTGAAAACAACAACAACAGCTGCAGTACAACAAGTCCCAGTTATYACCATGGCTGGCAATACGGCTTCCACGAGCTTGATGAGCCAGAAACTGGCTCAGATATTTGCAAAACTGCAAGACAATAAAGATCTTGAAAGGTGAGAGTCGCTTCTGATTGTAAAAGCAAAGTTTAAGATCATGGGAAGAGTGATTTCCGGAAAAATACTGATATGTAAATTTCAGCATAATAATTTAAAGGTGTAATGCTATCGCATGGCCCTATATATTGTTGYTGTTTAATTTTCTATTGATGATTCGTAGTTTAAACACACAAGAGCATGCAATGTCAGCCAAAGAGATGGGAGCCATTCTTGGTACTCTGATTGAGAATACTGTGACTGACCTGGACTTRTGTAAGTGTACATTTTTAGGTACATACTGTACTAGTAATTTTACAATGGTTTTGAGTGGCCTTTAGGCAAGTGACTTTACCCGGGGGGGGGGGGGGTTCTCTTGTCCATTAAGGGTATGGATGTGCCGCTGAGCCCTCTGAACCCTCACCCTGTTTCAGAGTAAAAATCGCTGAAATTCATGCCCTGTTCCAGAGCAAGATCGCTGAAAACCCTGTTCCAGAGAGGAGAGAGCGTGATTTCATATACCCTGTTCCAGAGYGAGCTCGATTTTATATACWCTGTTCCAGAGTAGAAATGCTGAAAACCATAACCTGTTTGGTGGCAAGTACATGTACCACCGTAGGGGGTACCTCCCYGTGTGACTTTACAAGAAAATATAAGAGACAAGTGGGATATTCCATTATATTTTTACTCCCACTATTGAAAATTCACCCTGCAATGCCTCATGGGAAGGAACAATAGTATAAGCAAAATATAGATTGACACCTWTATTTTACCCTGTGAGAAGAGTACCTAAAAATCAACTTCTAAATTCCAACTTCATCTTTGTGCTCTCACCTAGTTTAAATTTGGAGCCTAGCTGTGTTGGGATAATTTGTCCCATCCTCTGTTACAAGAGTCGAAGCATAATGGATAGATTTTGTGAATAGAGAAGTAGGGTTGCACTGATTGACTTACTGTTTGTTTTCTATTTCTTTYCTAGTATCAGCTCATCTCTCTAGAAAGACCACAGGAACCCCATCCCATTCAGAATCATTTTGGCCTTTACTGCAGATTTGTATTGATAACTTCCCACAGTCCTTTGTGGGTGTAGTCCACAGGGTACCCACAGAGAACTTCCCTCAGATTGGAGATAATGTTAAAAGTATCCCATATACTTCTGAAACATCCAAGGGTAAGAAGGCAGGAGTACAACACTGTATATTGATTTTAAATTCTGCGGCATTGCTGCATGGCAAGCAAGTGCATTGCTAAATCTCACGACTGTGTAGTTCAGGCCTGGGTTAGTGGTTTGATGCTCAACTGAACTGTATACACCTATTTCAAAAAACGTTTTTGGGTGGAGATCTGAAATCTAAGACCAAGTAGCACGCTGCAAATTGTATTATATTCACAGCCAAACAACATAGTTTCCTTTTAGATTGGAATATGAGAAGTGACCTATGAGTTGGAAATGTGGTTTTTCGTATTTTATCCTGAAAACATTAAAGCATTCGTGTTGACAATGTTTTTTTTTGAGTTRCTGCACATTAAATCCTTATTTCAAAACAGACATACTGTATCATAGAAGCATGATTTTCAGTAAAGTGGTTAGGGGGTGGGGGGAGGACTAAAATGCAAACTATGTTGCATAAAGAATGCCAGACTGCAGTGTTTAGTGTATACATGTAGTTAATGTTATTTTTTGCAAGAGTATGCARACATTTGGTCTGATATATTACGAGTATATCTGCACCCTGTAGTCCACTAGTCCTCCAGGCTTTGAAATGTCCATGCCATTATCAGGCTTCCTTTCCTTGACCTAATGCAATATACTGTTAGGTGAATGTTGTGTGGTTTAATATTGTACTTAGATTTAAGTAGCGGTAGTGGTGTGAACCTAGAAAAAGCCCATCACTTGGAATGATGGTTGTGAAATATTATCTTATTAAATTTTCAGTTAAGGCCGGTTTAGACRGTACRATTTTCGCCTACAACTATCRTATACAACAGGCTCGCGCCATCCTACAACTTGAGTCGTAGCGTGTAAATCAAGCCTAAGACTCGCCTACGACAGATGCGAGTGTGTTGTATACAATAGTTGTAGGAAAATTGTACCGTCTAAACCGGCCTTTAGATTGTTGTCATGTTTGATATATATGTGTTAAGTCATTTAGTTGCATTTTTTTCTTCACTTTTTCAGCCTTCACAGTCTGGGTTCTTTCGAGGATTCTTAGGGTTCTAGCAGAACCAGGATGTAGTTCACTGCATAATAAATCTATTGCAKCTTTTCTTTCAATATGTCAAGTAAGATCTTATTTAATAATGTCTTGATGATGGCAATGGCATTGATTTTGACAGTGGTTATTAATATACCCTAATCAATCCTCATTTTATTTTCAGCTTGTCAAAATCAAAGATCTTGTATTCTATCGCAGGATACTTTCAGAGATAGTAATACTACTGAGAGGTTAGAAACAAAATATTACTAGAGATTTACAACCTGTTCCTACAGGTTCGTGAGCAGGCGTAGCTCAGTTGGTTAGTGCGCGACCTTCTGAGCTTGAGGTCCACGGTTCGATCCTTAGGATCTCCACGTCTGTTTCGACTKCTCTCTAATCCGTGTAGCTTCAGCTTTAAATACTCTTAAAACAGAGCACTGATGGAGAGAGGGGGTAAAGTGTGCACCGTCGGCTTCCATTGATAGCAGTTGAATTTCAACTGAAGGAACTACCGACGTTAAATATAGGTACTTTACTTTTTTACTTAACATTCAGTATATCAATACCTTGCTCCTTGTTGCTGTACTTCTCTTGATTATAAAACTTTTCATTGTAGTCCCTTCTATTGATCTTTTCCTTTCCTATTAATTGCATTGCATTTCTTTTCTTTGGATTCCTTTTTCTTTTCCATTCTCTTTCTTTCCTTTTTTCTTTCCTTTTTTCTGGTCTTTAATTTCCTTTCCTTTTATTTTCCTTAGCCTTTCTCATTCCACTCATGATTCTTTTAGAATCTCTCCATTGCAATAAATCTATTCATATCTGTATTCTAGAGCTGGTAGTGCAAGCCCTGAATAAGTTATCCACCAAATAAGTGATATCCTGCTGATAAAAGCATAATCCAGCAAATAGTTTTTATTCATAGAATAGGATCCAGTGGCTAGGAATAATTCCCTCCAAGCTTCCAAATCTTGCCATCTGATTCTAGTTTATCCACTGGATAAAGCAAGCATCTGGTGGATAGTGCTTTTTCAGGATTCATACAACCAACTCCTGAACATTAGCTACAGTATGCAGTGTATTAGTTGCTCTGTTCTTGTCATTAAATTGTCTCCACACTATCCATGGTTCTGTCTTTGCATTTGTCTTATTATTCACTGCCTCAGTCCCAGTGATTGTACATTACTGTGATTTATAGGTTTGTGTTTCTCTGGATTAATTTTAGTAATTTTTGGATAGAATCATTCACATTGTTTTGTTCTTTATCAGATCTTGTGGTGATAGAGGATGCATATTTTGGAAACACAGAAATGGATGACAGTGATCTTCCTCTTTTTCTTGATCATTTCCAGTTTTTTGACATCAATGATGTGTTACCAAGGGTTAGTTTAAAGCTCTTGTAATGAACACATGTACATGATGGATTGTAGTGAACACATGAGGATAGCCTGACTGGCTGACTGTCTAAAGGGATAGATGGATGGAGAGAGGGAGGGAGGGAGAGAGGGAGGGAGGGAGAGAGGGAGGGAGGGAGGGACGGAAGGAAGGAAGGATGCAAGGGTGCAAGGCCGGATGTGGATAAATGAATGAAGGGTTGATTAATGGATGGATGATGACTGACTGAATGAAAAATAAAGTAAATGAACTGATAAATAAATTAATGATTTAAGGATCAAAAGGATGACTTGCTGACTGACTGATTTTAATAAGTATTTGCTTTGATTTTAGACTGGCCTTGAAAACCAAGAACAAGTTACATTTACAAAAAGACAGATTTGCATCAGAAATGAAGAGGATTTCTCATTTATCCATGAAGGCATAAGGTGACTGCCATATGCACTTCTTTGCTGAATGGCTTAAATGTATACTTATTTTAATAAAGGTCATYGGAGTCCAGAATAATAGGCTTTAGGCAATGAGCAATAGGAGTTAAGGCATTTAAAGTTTCAGGAATATCAGGAATGACTGATATTTCTTATTTTTATTCTTGTGAAGAAAATACAGAGCTTAATGTTGAGATATTCAGTGTTGCTTGCAGTTGACAAAGCCATTTTAAGCACCTTGATTGATTAGTATTTAATATACTGTAATTATGCATATAACTTCTTCCATTATTGGAATGACCTACTGCTGTACTGTATCACTTATCTCCTTTGGCTCTGACAACCTGTTTTGAAGTAGGTGAATACTTACAACCTCACCCTGCATCAGAGGGACGTACAAGAACCACTGAAGACATACCCTGGCAGTGACCACCATCAGTGTCTGGCCTTTACTAATGATTTCTTAATGGGTTGATTGTGGTATGGGGATTTTAAATAGGTTGGAAATTGAAGAAATGTACCTAGAAGAGGACCTTGTGTCCTATTGTGCAACACCAGCCTGCAGGCAATCCCAAATAAATGCTGACACACCTTGTCAAGGGATACTGATGACTGTTTTTATGTTTAGTCAAATAGTATGCCAAGTGGTTGGTGATGTCTGTCATTACGCAAACATGCATGTCAATCTTCTGTGGAGAATATGCAGCACAATGCTGAGAACAGGAATCTGCATCATTAAACAGGTAGATGTAGAATAGATAAATGAATGTATATGTAACGGCAATCAGCAATCAGTAAAATGCTGGATGGTTCTTCTCTCTTCATTTTTCCTTTTTTTCTTTCTTCCTCTGTCTATGTCTTCCTGGCTTCTCTCAATTCACTCATCCCTTTGCCTCTGTCCTTCCATCCTCTCTGTTCATCTATTGCATCAATACATCCCGTCCTATTCACCCATTTATCCATCTATGCGTCCATACATCCATCCATCCATCCATTCATCCACCCATCCATTCATCCACCCATCCATCCATACACCCATCCATCCATCCACCCACCCTTAACCCATCCATCCAATTCCATGCCCTCATCTATACCATCCAACTATCCATTTATCCCATCATATTCATTCATCCATTCTTCCATCCATCCCTCCATCCATCCCTCCATTCTTCCATCCATCCTATTCCATTCATGCTAAATTGATTTATTTCTCATTGTGTTTTTGTTATTCAGTTTTCCCTGCAGATAATCACAGAYCTTCTCACTCACACTGGTCTACCACAGCAACCTGTTCTAGATCAGTTTATCAAGAGTTTGTGTGTAATTGTTGGGATGGTTGGTTCTGGAGATTGTAAAGAACTTCCAAGGTAAGGTCACAACATTCTACTATCACGTCCTGTAGTCTACCCCTGTGGCATACATGGCTTAGGTGGTTWGAGCGTTGCACCGTTATCACAAAGGTCATGAGTTCAAATCCAGTTCTAAGCCTGTAAATGTTTTTCCAGGCTCCAGCACTTACTTATTTTCTATCTATCTCTACTGCTGATACAACATGTACGATGTATTCTCATACAACATTCTACTGTTAAACACATAGAATGTGTTAAACAACAATGTGTAGAAAAAAAGCTAAAGTGAGAGGAATGCTGGGGCACCTAGAAATCTCACAGGACCTGATTTAGAGGGGAAGGGTGGGGAATTAATTTGTGTTCATAAGGCACAGGGGTATTAATAAATAATGTCATTATTTATTCTTCGGCTTGGAGCTAATGTTTTCCCATATCGGACCAAGATTCATTCTCTTGGGGAGAAATTTCCCTTTTTGAGTTGTATCGATATTCATGTGTCTTCTCATATGCAGCCCCTAAACAAAGAAATGATACTCTAGGGAATGACACATGGTCTGAAATTTGAAAACATTGCACTCAAAGTTAAAAAGGAATATCCTAATGTTTGTGTATCCCACAGCTATAAGGTATGCCCCATGGAGGATGCACTTGCAACATGTCTAGATAACCTCTTTCAGAGGACACTTGTTGGTAAAGCAAGATRTGCTCCCCCATCTGACTCAACATGGTGTGAACCATTGCCACGAATACCAGTGTTTGTACTACCTTCCTGGCACATGAACCATTTCTKTGTACTTCTTTGTGAAATACTGACTGCAGGAGGGCTCGGAAATTTAAGGACTTTGAAACTTAAGGTATTACATGCATGACTTATAATCAATGAGTTTTTGAAACTGGGGTAAATGGTGAGGTAAGGACCCAAATAACAGTCTCATCAATTCCCCAACACTCAGCCGACTTTTATTCTCAGAGTCTTGGCATGTTTTTGTGTCATGAAATATTGGCATGACAAATGAACCCAACATTTTACCTGGCATTTCCAATAGTTTGACTTGTTTTTATTTTTGTTTTTTGTTTGCTGGGGTGAGAGTAAATAACCTTTGGACCCAAAGGTTGTTGTCTCCCCGATTAGTAGGGCACTTGTGCCCGGCTAGAAGATTAGAGACACTAATAAAGTTATTATTATTATTAAGGGTAAGATATCTTGTATTTCAAGTGAAAACTAAGGTCTTAATCATGGTTAATTTATTATTGTAGTTGTCAGTTTGTGAAGTCATCAAGTTCATTTACATCCATGTTCCTGATAACTACTTCTGTTCAGCTGATAAGAGCCATCAACTTAGAGATAACATCAACAAAGCATTGTTGAATCATATTGGTCAAGAACAAGATCAGCAGGTATATTGTTCCCTTGAGTATCATTTCTTTGTCTACTATTGACACTCATCAACTGGTACACATACRTTAATTGGATGAAACTCGATCAAAAGATCTTAATACTCGTAAAAGAGAATACCAAATAGTTTGAAATGAGAAATCGAGATTATTTGTTTGAATTTATTTAATTCAATAACATAATAATTATTGATGTACCTTGTCAAGCATTAAATGGAGATACATTAACTGGTCAACTCATCAACTGCAGGTGAAGATACATTAATTGGATGAAACTCGATCAAAAGAACTTAATATCCTTGAAATGAGAATTTGAGATCATTTAATTGAAATTTATTTAATTCATATTGATGTACCTTTTCAAGCATTAAATGGAGAACAAAAGGAAATAATTTGGTATATTACTTAMAGGAGTAACGTGGTAAGAAATATTAAAACAGTGAATTGGGTCAAATGTCATGTACTATAATAATATAGTAGATAGTATTGCTCAGTCTATGTTGTTGCTTTTTAATTTGTAGTATATGGTTGGATGCCTTTGCCAAGCAGCCAAGGAAGAGTTAAAACGAGCAAGCAAAGACAAGGTACTGTAGTTAAAATATGCAACATAGCAAGTTGGTAGGTTGTAGATAGGGTGTTGGTACTCACCTTTCTTGCAGTAAACCTGGGTTTATTGCACCAAAAGGTCCTTTTATGGAATACTATTTATGGCTTGCAACCATCCCTAAGACTGTTAAATAAATCACAAAGRCATAGCAGTCACGTTGGTGGTATGACAAAGTGATGCTAATGAGGAATCTTTATCAGCCAACATGCCCAYGCTTGTCTTTTGGTTAATTATTTTCAGTTGGTAATGATTGAAATCCAGCAATCAATAGCAGATGCAATGTAATACTTTTTATCATGCTTTTCATAGAATCCAATGACTGAGATGGCTCAAGATTTTAGTACAACATCAACACAGATATCTAGGTAAGCCTTTCTTTCTTCCCTGTTGGCCTGCTTTTTAAGATTATAGGTTAATGGTGTTGGCTATATTAGTCATTCCGAGTTAGAGGAAAAGAGTGGGTTGAGTCAGCATTGCAGTGCATTGTGGGACTGTTTTAGTTGATGAAATAGATGCCATCTTGCAAGTCCCCTAAAACAGTCAAACAATGCACTGCAATGCCAATTTGACCCACTTCGTTTTTACAACACGTGCTGTACTTACAGTACATGTGATGTCAGAGCTTTGGAATTATTTAACTAATGCTAATTAGTACAGGGTTGGCTGTTATTCATGATCAGTATTTGCTTCCTGCTGTCATTCTTCCGAGAATTATTTAATCAGTCTATGATCATAGACCAATGTTGGTAAAGTGCTTGTGATGTGTCAGCCAAGTGTTGGTGATTGTTTTTCATATTTTTCTCAAGTCCTGTAGTTCCTCACAAGAAGGCAAGAACAAGCCTCTCTATTCAACACAGAAAGAAGGAAGCTTCCAAAACAGAAATGAGAACCAAGGGACAAGACATTGTAAAATCTCAAGAGTCCTTTGTGCTGTCATCTCTTAGCCATAAGATAGACAGTCTGGCAAAAGACATCACAGAAAAAGTGCTCAATAATCCTGATGTGTTGGTGAGAAAAACATTAATGTCAGAATTTAAAAACTTATTGTAYAGTAGGAGTCTCCAGAGCAACTCAAATTGAAGGCAGAAAAATGATGTAATTTYATAGACTACTTTGACGATGCGGCGGCCATCTTGCCAGGGGGCAAAATAAAACAAAGATGACTGAAAATATATAGAGTTTCGTGTGTTTGATCAATGTGTTGTCTAAGTTCATCGTTTTTGTTTTCTCTTGTGGTGAGCTGTTGATATCAATCAACTTGATATCAATCAACATCATTACTGTAACAAAGCCCTATTTGCCCCCTGGATGACCCATGATGCCTTGCGATACAAGATGGCCACTGTACAGTATCATTGAAGTAGTCCATTGCTGGGGAGGGTAATTCTTTTTGTCCTCTAATCTGTGCTCCATTGGGAATTCTAGGTAATGGTGTTTTATAGATGGTCAATCTTAAGAGCTAGAATGTCAGAAAACATAATGAAAGCTTAAAACATACAAAAAACCAAGAACGTTCAGCATGGGTTGTGCCTTGAGGGCATGATTGATTAGAAAGTTTATTGCCAACATTACCCTGATTCAACTGTGTAAACTAAATATCTTGTTTTCCAAGGATTACACTTGCACGAGCTTGGAAGGAATAAGAATAGCTATGGAGGTGGTGGCAAGATGCAACGAATCCTTGAGAGGTTGGATTAAACATTTTGATGACTGACCTTATTTTTGCTGTTACGAGAAGACTACTTGCAATCATTGTCAAAAGTCTTATCAAAAGAGCTTATTTGTCTCGATGCAATAATTTTAGTTTTAATTTTTCTCATCTGCTTCAAATGGTGGCCAAACACTAAGTAAGACCACCAATGTGCTGTGAACCACAAAGATTCCCACTATTGAAAAAATATTTTTCCCTGCAGGTCACATGACAAATATTCGCATCAAGAGTCTTCTCTCTCTCTTGAAATCCATGCTACAATATCTTAGCAACATTGCCAATAAGAAAAGTCAAGACCAGGTCATCATGGCAACTATTACACAGACATTCAAGAAGCTTGTTCACTTGGCGATGTTAGTGTTTTATATATCAGAGGCAATAACCCTGCCTTCTGAGCTGCAACAAGTTCTCGTTTTTGTTGCTTCAGTTCCCTGGCTTTGTAACGTAAGTACTTCCAAATTTCATTCAGATATTTTGCATTCTTTGGATGGTATRAATGAGCTGTTTGCATGATAACATTATTTTACTAGCACTACAAGTCATGCTTAGCAAAATTTCATATTTAAACATGATAACAGTTCAACTCGTTGTTGCTACATAACTGAACAAAATAATCAAAGTGTGCAAGGGATTCTGGTAGTGGAAGTATGTGATGCTAGAATGCAAACTTCTCATACATGTTTAGATACATTATACTAAAATAGTGAGTAGAGTTTGTAAGGTCTCTGTAGGTCTCTTGCAAGGCGTTTTCTCCATGTTCTCTGGTTTCCCTCTGCAAAACCTTATATACTAATTTCCAGTGCCATCTTTGAGTTAACCATGGCTCGATTATTGACACTTATAAACCAGTCCTGATGCGGATATGGATTTTGGTATTATATTATATTCTTTACCAGGTTGAACAGCAATGGACAGATCTTCCTCATTCATTTGGTCTGTCTGTCCAAGACATGGCTCACATTACCAATGCACTTGAACCCTATGTTGATGTTGAATGTAAAGGATATTGTCTACACCTACTGGCCATGTTCATGTCAGATGTTGCACCAACCTGGAGGAGTCAAGTTTTTATGCTTTCTCTAGTAAGTGTTAAGTTCTGATGATAGTTAAATTAGAATGAATAACATTACATGGTATRTAGATCAATATGCCTCTTTASSTTTGRCATAATGTTTTCCCATTTCAGACCATGTGTCATTCTCTTTAGATTACGATTCTTTGAGTTGTGTCATTTTTCATGTGTCTTTTTATGCAAAACTGTTAAACAAAGAAATAATACTCTAGGGAATGACAAGTGGTCTGAAATGGGCCAACCATACTCAAACCAAACCATACTATTCAATGTGGGCATGAGTTTCCATTTCAAACCATGTGTCAATCYGTTGAGTATTATTTCTTTGTTGACTGCTAACACTCAAGGAGATAATTTGATACCAATGTAACTCAACTATATAATTCCTGARGAATATCCATGTGATCTAAATCAGGAAAACACCCCACCTTTTAACTTATTAACTTCCCAAATTCAGAGCTACATAGACACACTTTTATTAATGTGTGTGCAGCGAATATGGGCTGACTAACAGAAATGGACTTTTTCTACATGTTTTGCACATACTGTTTTCCTTTCATAATTTCCTACACATAAATTAGTTAGTTAAACAAGTGTGCATAGTTGTGGACTAATTATTTCGCTATGCTATGGTATGCTATGCTTTGGTAAATAGTTAGGTAACGTTGCAGTAACATAGCCTCTTCATTTTCTTTAGCAAGATGCATCGGATGAAGTTAAAGTCCTTGCAGTTAAATGCCTTCCCACGCTACTGTCTTCACTTGGCTCCTTCTCCTATTCTTTAGTCCCTGATAATCTACAGAAGCTTCTCTCTACTGGTCCTTTGATACAGGAACAAATTGGCAGGGCGTTGGGTCCACTGGCTTGTGTGCTGACAGAGCACAGTATTATTAAACGATGGGTGTGTCCTGGTGATGATATTCCTCTGGGGAGGTGCATTGGCTTGTATTGTCCCATTTGTGATAAGGGTGGTAAGTAAAATTACCAGAAATACGTTAGCAGGATTTTGGGGCCACTGGCTTGTGTGCTGACAGAGCACAGTATTATTAAGCGATGGGTGTGCCCTGGTGACGATGTTCCTCTGGGGAGGTGCATTGGCTTGTATTGTCCCATTTGTGATAAGGGTGGTAAGTAAAATTACCAGGAATACGTTAGTAGGGTTTTGAGGCCACTGGCGATGGGTGTGTCATCAGGTGATTATGTTCCTCTGGGTAAATCAGTTAACCAAAATCGTTAGTTATGAGGGAGGAGGAGGAGTTGTACAATTGGAAAACACAGTATTATCAAACAATGAATGTGTCAAAGTGGCAATACCATAGTAGGACAGACTAGCATCCCAGGAAGGGGGGTAGTGATACTCTTTATATCTTTATGTTAAGTAATCCTAAGATAAGCACCWTTTTTGAAGTCCCAGATGCAAACCCAATTTCAAAGACTGCTTTGGTAAACCTTTTGTCTTTTCATGTCTTGTCTATTCTGTCAGATTTTGACCCACGCCACCAGTCTCATGCAGTAGTTGATGCAGCAGTCTTCACTCCATACCTTCATCTCCTGTCTCCTAACGTTAGCTCCTCTGTCAAGCTTGCCTTTATCAGTAGTATTCAGAGAATGTGCACCCATCTGGCTGTGACTCCGGATACCTCAGCACACAGCTGTATTGTGACTGCTACCTGTTGTGATCTGATTGAGGATCCTGATTATCGTGTCAGACTTGCTTTTAGGTTGGTTAAATGTTTTTAAGTTAGTASCGGACAGAAATAATTCATACATGATTTTTAAAAAAAAATCTAGTCATTTAAAGTTGGTGTCTGTTGAGTGAACGAACGAATGAACAAAGAACGAACCGACGGACGGACGGATGAATGAGGGAAAGAAAGGAATAATGGACAGTGACCTTTCCACTTGGCATTAAGACTAATGAATTAGCGTAGTTAAATCTTAATCAATTTACTGATTACATCTTTACCGTCGCAGCAAAGTCATTTCCTACGTCACCAAGCCTGGCTCATCCTCCAGCACAGGAAGCCCACCTCTTAGTATCATGGCAAAGCTAAAGAAAGCCTTCAATGATGCATCGACTCACAGAGCCAGAGGTCGCGAGGGAAGGGTTAATATAAGACTGCAGGAGACAGTAGTGATGACCATAGGGCAGCTGGGTAGAACTGCTGAAGGAGAGCTCTTATTAGTGGTTATTATCAGTCTGTTGAAGAGTCTTACTGCTGAGTCAAAGCTTATCAAGGCTAAAGCTTTTGAACAGGTACGATTATTAGTCACAAAGTCACGGAGGGACCACGTGGCAGAGTGGATTGGAGTGGGGTGTGTTGGGGGTTATCCATAATGACTAGGGGGAGATCAAAGCTTATAAAGTCTTATTAAAGTTTATCCAGGTTAAAGCTGTTATTTGCCTGTTGAAATTGAGAAGTGTTGTCAGAAAAAAAAATCAAATTATAACAATAGCGCAGCGCACCCATTCTAAAAATAGCTTAAAGATGCGGACAAACATTGCATTCTGTGTAACCGCTACGAGGATTATACGAACCGATTTTATTATTTTTGCTTAAAGTTACAATAATAACCCATGTAAAGTAAGATCAACTGCGATCGGCTGTSAAAATTATCTGCTGAAAGTAAACTTGTAAGTTTGTTTGTCCGAATTTCGCCTTTGTCTTCGTTTTTATGACGTCACGGTTGCGCTGCGCTATTATTCATAACTCATAATTTATTCAAAATATATCCTTTTGAACCCACTTTTGTCAGATTCAAGAAATCGCTCAGTGTCGTGGTAAACCGATGAAAGAGGTGTTCTGTGACTTCAAGCAAGATATCTGTAAGTTYGTAGTTAATACAATACACGATATCCAGTCAAGCAACCCTTCTGCCAAGAAGTCCATGGATAGCATCACTGAAGTGGCTAACGTGTTTGACTACAGGGACATACAGACCTTCTTAATGGTACGAGAGATGAATGGAAAACAATATTTGGATTACTACTTTGTTTACCAGTTTGGCCTTACATCTGTCTGTCTTTCAACTTTGTCTGTTCTGTCTGTCTTGTCTGTCTTGTCTGTCT